CACTGCCGTGCGTTGCGTGCCATGATTTATTTGTGGTTGACATGTTATGACACCGCCCAGCATAGAGGCGGCGAGCAGAGTGGTGGGGAGAGCTAGTGAATGTGTCCCTTGACGAACCGACGTTAATCATGGCATACTGTAGAGTGCGGGCCGAGAAGGTCTCGACGTTGTCTAAATTAAGCATCCTGAAGGAATTTTGGCAGGGACTGCAGGTATGACATGGATCTGGAGGGACGGACGCTTTTTCCTCTGGGCCAGGTGGGGGATTGATCTGTCTGTACGTAGCGCAGAGAGAGAGGGAGAGTGTGTGTGAAAGAGGAAGAAGTGAGAACTAGGTTCCGATTACCCGGCATCGTGAAGCAAGGTTTGTCTACCCTTTACGAGTAGCGTTTCTCCTCAGGACAGCACCCGATGGGAGCGGGGGCAGTGAGGGTGAGAAGATGGGACGGTGATGGTCGAATTGATGAAGCACGGGGGTGGTCCAGCATGAGGCAATAGGCGAGGCAGAACTCGACAATATGAAGCATGCCTTACCTAGGTATCCAGCAGTGGAATTGTTTGGTGGTCGATGGGTCGGGTTCGCCAGGCTGTCGGTATTGCCCCTCTCTTTTGGCCCCCGCTCACACAACCCCCTGGCGGAGAGATTTCTATTTTAGAACCTCGCTGCTGCTGCACTCCCCCCTCTCTCCCAGCTCCCATTCCCCATGCCCCCCGCCCCCCCCCCTGGCTTTTGCTCGCAAGATCGACGCTAGCACGGCCTCCCGTTGACGGTGACGGTGACGGGGAGGGTCCCGACGGAGCCAATAGAAGGCGCGCCCGCCGTGCTGAGCCAGAGCCAACTACCGAAAATAGACACTCTGTAGCCGCCGGGCCATGTGGGCGCGCTGCACGATGGGGGAACCTGTATCACAGTGGGGGGGGGGAAGAGATTGGGAGGAAAGAAAGAATATTGAACGACAAGAGATTAATCAGGGCGTGCCGGGCTTGCTGAGATCTTCTTTTTTTGGAGGCATGAGAAGGGGTCCAGGGGAGAGAACGAGAGAGAGAGAGAGGGACAGTGGAACGAGATTAGGCGCGAAATGCCCCCCCCCCCTTCTAGCCAGTCGGCAATGCGTGCGTTATGACGAAACGGGATTCCCGAGGTTGTGGGATGGACGAAGCACTGAATGGGCCCTCTGCCATGGCGAGGCGGGTCATGATGATCTGCCGGAACGCTGCCCCCCCCCCTGGCCTGCACCTCATGCTGGCCGACCCGAAGAGAATGACACGAGCCCCTAAAAAAAAACTTAAGCTTCTGTTTCATGTTGCTGGCGCTTGATGGTGGTGTCCCCTTTCGGTAAGGCCATACTGATACCGGTGCTGCTGCCGATGCTGGCTGGCTCGGCTTGGCTTGTTGTGTCGTCCGAAGGGAACACGGATGATGGGGCGATGAGCGACGCGTGATGGTGATGGGTGA